ACTTACCAGCTTCTATCATTTTGTATCATTTTCCATAATACTTATTTTTTGTGGTTGGCAGCAAGAATGTATGCTGCATTAAAGTGGGAGCTTTGATCAGTTTTGTTCAATAATGTGGTCTGAATTCTTAGACGAGTACCTTGCACACACCAAGTACTTATCATCCATGTCTGCTGGATGGATGGATGAACAAATGGTGACTCAATAAATGAACACTGGAAACCAGGCTCTTGGTCTCTAACCACCACGGCCACCTCCAATGAAGAGCAATTGGCCAGTAGGTGAGAACCAGTAGATGGTTAATCATATTCAGAGCACAAAAACTCCCAACTTTTGTTAACTCCGTGCAGATGTAATGTTTTTTCCAATGCTAATCTGAAAATGGTCTGAAAATTTTACTCATTATAAAACAAAACAACAAACCAACAAAAAAACAACCAATCAACCAACAAAACTTTCCAGTGCATTTCACAGAATATCAGACCTTGCTAAATTGTCATGTTTTAGAATGTCTACATTCTGACCTGTATTATCTCTTAGCTTTGAGGTCCTAGAAAAGTCCATTGGTTTATACAATTCAGAAAATGAATGACAACTAATTTTCCCTCTAGCTTAAAAAAATTCAGGATTACAAGAGTCTGAAAATAAGTCAAGCTGTGCTTGACTATCCCTCTCCTTCCCTCAACTAACAATCTGTAAATAAATACTCCAATCCGGGAAAAGCTACCATCCTCTCTCCCTATCTCATCTTCCCCATCTCATAAGAGGAATGGTATTAAACTTCAGGTATGACTCACTGAGAAACAGCTGCACTGCCTCAGGTGATAAACTGGGAGGTCATTCAAAAGCTACCTTAATGTTTACTTTTAACCTTAAGGAGAGCCTTAACTAAATGAAAACCCCTTTCCCGACAGCATAAAAATAGCTGTCATTCCTTGTCTATTGTGAATAACGTGGCAGCAACTGAGAGTGCAGATGTGTGCTGAACATACTGACTGTACTTCTTGTGGATATGTACTAGGAATGGAACTGCTGGATTATATGAGAGTTCTACTTCTAATTTTTTAAATAAATGAATATTTATTTGCATATTTTTACCCTGGGGCCTTCCCACTGAGCTATGTCCCAGAACTTTTTATTTTGAGATATGGTCTCACTAAATTGCTAAAATGACAATTGTTGGGCATGAACTTGGGGCCTTCTTGCTTCAGCCTTCCAGAGGGATGACATTACAGGCTCTTCCTCTTCTTCTTCATCCCCCCTTGTAAGGGACCATCACAGTGTTTTCTACAGCAGCTGTGCACTGTACATTCACACCAACAGTGTGCAAGGGTTCCCTTTTTTCCACTTTCTTACCAACACTATACAATTTTTCTTTGTCCATTATGTAACAATTAAACTGGGAAAAAGATGTAAGATGGGGCAGTGGTACGGCTCAGCGGTAGAGCACTCTCCCAGCAGGCCTGAGGGCCCTGTGCTCATCTCACAATCACAGATGGGAGAAGAGCAACAACAAAAGAAAAACCCAAACAATCAGGACAGTGGTTCCCTTGGAGTGTGGTGGAAGGGTGCACCAAAGCGGGTGGCTGGCTGGCAATGAACTGGGGGTACAGTCCTTCTGTGTGTGTCACTTGTTGCAGCTTCTGACAACACAGGATCACTGTCAAATGCTGGACTCAGACATGCCAGTTCATGCCACCTCTTCATATTCTGTTGAACCTGAAATTTCCAAGAACCCATAGTGCCCAGCTTTATACCAATAATATCGCTTTCATTCGCAAGTCAATGCATCAGTCAGCATCACACTGCTCAGTACTTTCCAAGTGCTGAGGAAGCAATGAGACACAAAGGGTACAATCCGTGCCTCAGAGAGCTGTCATTGTGAGCATCTTGGGCATCCTAAAGAGAAGCAAAAGTAAAAATAGCAGGATCTGGACATGGTGATGCATGTCTATAATCTCAGTTACTCAGGAGAATGAGGCAGAAGAATCACAAGTGCCAGGCCAGCTTGGGCAACTTAGTGAGACCTTGTGTCAAAACTTAACAAATCTGGAGATGTATGCCAGTGGTTGACCTGTTGCTGTGCAAAGGCCCTGGTTTCAATCCCCAGTACCGGAAAAGAAAAACTACAAAACAAAAACAAAACCCGAAGTGGTAACAACAAAGAGTGGTTCAGATACTTAAAGAGTAAGACTAGGGCAAAAGGTATGCATGACTTAGAAAAATGTCTTAAAAATTAAATTATTGGAATTACTAACGAAAAGTAAATATTTTCAATACCATTAGTGTGTATTCCAGACATCCCAACTATGGCAGTATAGCGGTATACTTATTTTACAAAAGGAAAAGATAGTGTGTCCAACTATAAAAAGAGCTTTAAAAATTCCACTATAATTGTTCATGCTCACTCACTTATAATTATAGACCTATGTTAATTCAGTAATCTCCATAGTACTCCTTAAGTAATTTCCTACTAGTTAACCTCTACATATATCTTTTTAAAATATACCAAATATTTATTTTGGATACATTTCTTGTGTAAATACTGGTTCAAAAGTAAGATGCCTTCTTTGGAAGATAGGTATACACATGTATATATTAAGTGTATTTATATGTACATATATAATTTCTGTGTGTTTGTGTAAATGTTTGTATGTGCACACATTTTTTGTACATTTGTGTGTATCTCTGTATTCAAATTGCTTTTGAATTAAATTGTACCAATATCATTTCCATAGGCAGTAGATAGGAGTATCTGTTCTGGATAGTATTCTCTAAGATTTATTTCATTACAGTACATGCAGTTTACAGTCATCTCGAGAAGTGGGTACATGAATATAATCCACCTTGGTTCTTTTTTTACTCCCTTTCTGCTTCTTTTCCAGTTCCCTTCACCTCCTCTAAATCCCCCTCCCCATTTTCCTTCTTTGTGACATTATAAATTTTTTCTCATGTTTATGCTATGTAGTGCTTACATTTATTTGAGGTCATTAGGCTCCCGCACATCTTTATTCTACTTAGTGCCCTTCCCCACTCTCCCGTCCACTCCATGTTCTCTTGGACCCCTTCAAATCGGCAAGACATCTGTCCCCCTGCTTCCTTCTACCCATCCTGTGTCAACCTACTAGGTAAGGAAGGGTATAAACGTTGCTTTTTTGCATTTATATTAGTAAGAATAGTATTTTTTAAATATCTTTTTGGTAATTAATTCACTATTTCTTTATCTTTGTGATTGTTACCTTTTCCACCATTCAGTCTTTCTATTGGTAGCTTCCTATTTATTTACATGAATTCTTCATTTCTAAAGGCCACTAAATTCTTTGCTCATCATATATGAAATATTTTATCGAAAATAGTTATTTACATTTTCATACAATTTTTGGTAATAAACATTTTTTAGATTCATATAGACAAATCCATCAAAATTCTGTCTTCTACTTTATCTATTGGTTGTCATACGTCTCTCTGCTATACATTTAGAGGCTACAATTAAAATCTAATGTAACTTTTTCAAAAATCACATAAAACATATAAAACCAATGTCATCAGACTAAATGGATTTACTTACTCCAAAGTACATTTTTATTTTAAATTTGGAAACGGAGTTTTCAGAAAAAAAATTCTCAAGAGTTAGCTTCATTTCCAAACACTCATCATTCAATATTGAGTGACGTGAAAATTTTGTCAGATTTTGAGCATTATTGTTTTGAGCATTATTTTTAGTCACCAATTGCATTCACTGTAAATGTTATACCTTTTTAGCTGGATTATAAATATCATCTGTATTAAAAGGCAAAGTAACTTGTATTCCAGACTGAGCTCTTTGAAAATGATCCATGAAATAGAGTCATTCCTGGAACTATATAGATTGGCACTGTCTTTGGCATTTAATAGACACCTGATAATTTAATAAATTTTGTGTTAGACATACACCAAACTCCCTGGAAAATGAGCAAGACATATGTGGTTAACAGGGTAGTTTTAGAGTCATTACTCCAACAGTATCATGTGAAGGGAAAAGAGGCTTAAGATTCAGAGAGACCTAGATCAAGAAGGAGACTTGTGCATAGCTTAGGCCTTCACAGAACAGGCCTAACTAGAAAGGTGATTCTAAAATGGCCAAGGGGAGATCAAAGCAAGACGGATTTAAAAGCCTGCTGAATGGCTAAAGTAACAATCCCCTAACACATATCCAGATACCAGGAAAGTGAGAAGGCAATCTGGTCTGGGAAGCATAAGAAGAGGCAGTGGTTTGGGATGATCAATCAGAGCTGTATTATAGACAGCACATAGCACATAGCTATGAGGATGTAGAAAAGCAAAATATCCTTTACAGGGTGTTTCCAGTGGTATCAGACACTGTCAGGTATTTTACTCACAGATTTGGAGTTTGTGTTTGAGAGCAATCCATACATCAGAGACAAATCCTCCATCATTTGTCTTTTTGAGACCAAATCTTGCTTTGTAGTTTAGGCTGGCCTTGAGCTCACTATGAGGCCCAGGCTGGGACTTGCAGCAATCCTCTCCTGCCTCAGTCACCCACGTGCTGGGATTACAGGTAGCACCTCCATGCCCCGCCCCCCCGCGATTTCTAGCCACACAGACCTTAGAAGAGTTTACTTATCTTCCCTTAGTTTCACCATCCAAGAAATGAAAATAATAATACCTACCTTAATGAATTAGAATAAATAATTTTTAAATAGCATGGTGCCTGAAATATAATAAAGAATTGTCAATGAATGAAAGGACAAGAATTAACTACTGGCTTTGCAGATAGTTCATACTAAATGATAGAAAAAAAATCTAGGTATTCTCAAAAGATAGACTTTTCAACACAATGGGAAAAAGTCTTGAAAACAATGTTATGGAAATCATGAGGGAATTAGAGGTTTCAAATTTGAAGTTCTTTCATCAAATCTGTTCATGAGGACAGAGAAACAGAGCATTCAGTGGCGGAGATTTTTCATGTAATGAAAGGAAATTTAAATAGTGCTGCCTACCCAAAGTTGGTCATCCATGCCAGGAGGGTTCTTTTTGATAAAAGCACCATAGTATGTAGCTATATTCCGATGATGAGAATATTTCTTCAACATGTTAATTTCTTGTTTTATTTCTTCCTCTTCATCCTATATTGGAAAAATAATTATTGGAATATGAAATCAACTATCTTTAGTAAAATTTCATTCTTTAACACTATCAACATCAATGAAGTATTGGAAGTTTTTCTTAATATTTTTCTTCCATTGTAATAAAAGAGCATAATTATTTGATTAAAATGAAAAACTTTACAAAAATCACATGTTGGTAATAAAATGGAAGAGTCTTCTTTTTGTGCAGGTAACAGACATAGCATCCAATCTGCTGGGGGGAAAAGTAATCTCAAGGCTATATAGGAGATCAAGGTAGTAATGCAACTAGATAAAATTTACACCAGGCCTCTGGGAACTATGTCCATTGAGTACCCATCACTGATCCTATCTGCTATAGGAATGGTGGAGGGGAATTGAAGGGAAAAATATAGGCTCTCAGATTAAAATTGTTAGCTTCATTTTCTTTGAAGTCTTCTTCATTGAAGTACCTGACTAAAGCTGATGAAAGTCAGACGGGAGAGGGAGCATGGTAAGTTCTCTAGATCTGAGGAAGTTCACAAAGCAGGAGGACCCTCATCACCTTCAGGAAGCTAAACATGAAAAGGAAAGGGGAAATGTGGCGACTGAGGATATAAAAAGAGACAACTCTGCTACAGAGTTAGTTTCCTGATATTGAGGTTTCATTCATTCTGAGTTTCAACTTGGAGTCTACAAACTTGGCTCTGGCATTACTAGTAGATAATGCATGTTCCCCATAATTTTATTTTATTGATGTGTACACGTTGGAAGGACCGAAAAATAGTGTTTCATTGTTGAGGTGGAGGAAAAAGTTTCTGTCCCAAGATTGAGGGTTTTACTGAGAGAAATAAGTGAGAACTACCCCTGGCTGGAAAATGTTGCCTTACCAAGACCTGGAGCCCCACCCCCCCAGGTGTGTCCCCTGTGTCACCTTCCCTCCCTGCAGCTGTGTGGCCTCTTCTAGTGGATCTGCACTAGTGAGTCCTTCAGCACTCTTCCATGCATAATGGATTCTTCCCTTCTTTTCTAACCATATAATTTTCATGGAACATCTCTGGTTGGGTGTAATTTATACTCCCCACAGTGTTTTCTTGTCTTCTATTAAGCAATGTTAAGCCTACCCAATAAATCTCATCATAACCCCTACTCTTCTTCACACAGTATGGAGGGATGCCTCATGCTATGCCATAACTGCTCTGCTACTTGATTCTCTTTTTCATATATTTAAGTGTTTCTCTATTAACCAGTTCTTTTTTGGCAAAACTCCTTATCTACCTGGTCTTTCATGATTCTAGTCACCTGGATCACCATGTATTCCTGTAGAATCCTCTCAGAACTGTCATCCCCATCAGTAACAATCCTAAACATTGTAATTCTTCCTGTTTTGTTTTCTATTACATCCTATAATGGTCTGGATATGATAGATCCCTAAAAAGGCCACTGTACTGAAGACCTGCTGACTGCTGGGGTTTCTGATCATTAGAGCTCTAAACTTCATTAGAGGATTAATCTATTGAGAGGATGGTAATTTGACAGTATTTGGGGGACGTGACAAAAAAATAAGGTTTGTCCTAGTTAAAAAATATTAGGTCTTGGAGTTGCAATCCTCCATCTCTGCTTCCTGGGCACTATGAATTGAGCAGCCTTTCTCTGTTCCACCCTTCTGCAATGATGTGTGTGCCTTGCCTCAGGCTTAAAGCAATAGTCAGCTGACCATGGACTGAAACTTCTGAAACCCCGAACCAAAGATATTTGGGGACAATGCCCAAAGCTCACTTATTAATTAAAAACTCCTAGCACCATTAGAGTGCCTGTAAATAAATGTGAGTATAAAAATGAAGCTTCACAAATGAGTGAGAGCTTACAACAACACTAATGATGTTACAAGGAGCAGATAAGAAAAGAAAGAAGCGAGCAGTGAAATGTTGACATTTCCTAGTCACACAGTGAGTTTTGCTGGAAAAAATGGGTATCTGTAATCCCAGGAAAACCAAAGCATGCTGTGCATCATGTGGCTTAACTAAACGGAAAACTAAGTAATGTCAGAACGGGACACATGATTGGAATCCTCAGCTAACGGTATTTATGTGGCCCATAATAGTGAGGAGGCTGTGAAAAGATAAAGGGCTTAGACGGAGGCTGAGGCAGAGAATAGATCGCCAACTCCTGACCAAAAAGCATTCTTTCCTGCAACTATCAAAAACCACCTTCACTGCAGGCATAAGGATAAAATGACCTTCAAAGACCTTGAACTTACTGAAGGGTCACTGATGCCTTACTCCTGTGTACACACTAGCTTTTTACAAGTCACTGTGTGTAGCCAAAAAAATTGTGGGTGAGTGTAGGATATGGGCAGATGTGCTTTGGGAAAGCCTAAGTAGAAGGGGAGAAAACCAACCTGAGGGCTTCTGTAGCAGCATGGCACCGACAGCTGCTTCGATAAAAACAGCTATGTGAGGTAATGAAAGACAGATCACTTTCCAACTGCAGCTGACAGTCTGAGCTCCAGCCATTCTAGGTGGTAATTTAGGCTGTTTCTACAAGTATTTGCTGCCTGCCTCCTCAGCTCTCCACAGGATGGTGCATGATGTGCCTCTCAAAGCTTGACATATCATTAAGAAAATCAGAATTTATGAAACAGTGAAATAACAGCACAAGATAGCATGCAATGAAATCCAAAATAAGTAGTCTTAGATGTTAGAATGAAGTGAGCACGTTCTTCGTCACTTTGTAAAGGTAAACTGAGGTAGTTGTGCATCAAGGAGGAATGCACATACATTAGGTTTGTGATCCAAAAGTTGAATATGGGCACACGAGATGCATACTGAGTTTGAGCTTCCACCCTTCTTGGCTGTGAGGCTGCAGGAAAATAACCTAGTGTTTTGGAGCCTGAATTTTCTCATCTATGATGAAATATAAATATTACAAACTCAGTTTTGCAATAATAAAATGAGGTGTGTGAAAGTAGAAAGCATAGCACAAAAGAAATATTGCCATTAATCTCTTCAACCAAAACCCCCATCAAGACAACAAAGATAGGAGGGAAGCAATGTAAGTCACTTGAATCTTAAATTTAAATTATTTCCAAACACAATTATGGAACATAATGTATAGTTTCAATATTCAATGTTGATTTTGACTTTCTGTGTCTTTGTGAGTGAGCATGTAATTTATCAGGGCTCTGGGGCTACTATCTATGCAGATTTCTAGTCTAGGTCACTGATGGCAATAAATGACTCAAAGAAATACAAGAATCAGTTTTGACAAGAACTCATTTAACCATTGCACTAACTGTCCAGACTCTTAAAGTATGTCTCGTCGAAGGAGATATACTACTGAGTTTACAAAAACAAAAAGAGGTCAACTAAGGCTAAAAGCAGAGCAAACAGTTTTAGGAGAAGGGACATCCTCTATTTTATAAACAAACTATTTATACATATTCGGAATGAGCAGAGGAATCAAGCTCACTGAGAAATCAATGATCACTGGATCATAATGAAAAATAAAGTATTGGTACCAAAGAGACTCCAATTTAGAAGGAGGATAATTTTAAGAAGTCAAGTCTAGTACTTTTCAATCAGAAGACTTCAACATCTACTCTGGTTCATTGTATTAACTTCAGGTGAGGCTTTTAAACTCTCTGAACACTGGTTATTTTCAGCATGGGAATAAGAAACCTATTTAAGCCACCTCTGTGGGCTTAATGTTTACTTAAACATAACTTCAGCATTAACATAAGGAAGACCTTTTTCTCTCAAGAGCATGGGAATCTATTTATTGTTTGTATTTGTGGTAGACTGAAAAAAAGTAGCCACAATATTTGGTTGCCACCATCTCCCAATGGAGAGGTGGAGTCCACTGCTTTCTTCTTAAAGTTGGTGTTGGCCACATGACTTGATTTAACCAATGGACACTAACAAACATGATGCCCCAGGGTCCTGGAAAACTCGTGCTTTGTGACTGGCCCTCTGCTGCTTTCAGAGAGCTCTTCTACATGTGGGAAACCAGAACTGGTTCCCAGAAGATACAAAATGAAGCAAAGGACAGTGGCTTTCAAATGAAACAGATTTCAGCTTTTAAGCCAGTGGCCACCTCTCATGGCAACATGATGGCCAGGACCATGGTCATAAAGTATGGCCAAAACAAAATGTAATTAATGTTCCCTATGTTTCTGAGGCTGTGTGCCCACTCTCTTATTTAATACTCAAAACGGCTGCACAACGTAGGTGTTTTTAATGGCCTGATCTTATAAACAAGAAAAATGAACCTCAGAGAATCTAAGTAACTTTCCCAAGTTTACTCCTCTTAAATGTTAGAGCCTCAGATTTGTCCCAAGTAAGCTCAGATGTGCAGGACTCCAAAGCCAGTACTCTTAATTCTGTAATGAACTATAGAGTTACCCAAGTTAACTAAAACCAAAGTGCTACTCAAAAGAGTTTAGGAACATTGGAAACCAGGGGTGAATAAAACCCTGACTTTATTCTTCCAATTAAAAATGTTTGTCAGCATACAAGGGACAACACTGATGTTTAAATAGCCCACTTGTTACATAGGGGAATACACATCAGGCATCTACAACATGCTAGGATTTAAAAAGCAGAATGAGTAAAATACTTGATAATAATGTGCTCTGTAACAGAGAGCTTGCCCCACATTTAACTACCGACCCTAGAAGAAGGAATAAAGTGGTATAATTCCTACAACAATCTAGGGACTGGTCAGCGTGAAGTCTAGAGGGAAAAATGAATGCACAGATTCATAAATGCCACCTCTCATGGACCTTGGGACACGGCCTGGAGCTCCTGCTCACCTGCGCTGTTTCCTAGTGGCTGGCAACTGCTCGTGTTCCCTATCATCCTCACCTTCAGCGTTGACCCAATGTGGCAAAGCTAAAGATAATCTATTTATTGTTAAAGGGTCATACGCTAGAAAATTTCAAGAGATCATCACTAGCAACTAGAATGTGATTTGCAAAAGGTTTAAAGTCATCTGTAGTAGTAAAATTTCTCCTTTCAATA